CCTAGTGGTAGATCAGGGGTATCAAATCTTATGATGTTCTTTTGGTTGAGTGGGAAGATTGGGAAGATTTGATTATTTAGAATGACATAATTGGTATTGTATTGGAGTTGCTAAAGTATTTTAGTGGTTCTACATGTACCACCTTGCTTATGAGAATTCATAGAAGAGCTATCATGCATAATTAAGGTTATCCGGTAATCTTAATATTCATCTTGTCGTCGAGGTCATGTATTGATTGTGTGTGGTTGAAGGTAGGGATCATTGGGTCTAATTATATTGTTCTGAAGGGTAATCTAAAATCACAATTACTAAATATATCATTTCGATAGTGTTGTTGGAGAGTTTGTATGCTTGGACATATCCTTCGATGTGTATCTGATGTCTAAAGATCAATTTTTTTATAACTTAAGCTCATGGAAAATTATATTGTGAGATGGAGATGTTGATAAGGACTATGATGGTTTGGGTATTATGAGTGTGTGTTGGTTGGTTCAGGTTCACTTCTAATTGTAGCGAGTATTGATTTAGAATTTTATCATGGTTATGTGAGAAAGGATTCGTCCTAATGTTGTGTCAAAGTTATTGATAACATGTTGCAGACATGTGAGCGATCAACTTCGGTAGTTATAGGGAATAACTTTGTGGTTAGTTAAGTGTACATACAACAATAATTATCACTTGAGTATTGTGATTACTTCATAGAGGCATTGTATGGGAGGATGTGTAGGTATTCAATTGGTTGATTTGGGGAAGAATATTATATCATAAGTGAGACTCAGTTGTGTTAGACAAGACCTTCTGTATGAAGAAAAATCGGTTGAAATTCTTGATCGCGATGTCCGGAAGCTAAGGACATGCGAGACAAGTATCCCCTGTTGTTCAGCAGTTCAAGTACTACTCTACCATTACTATATGCTAAGGGCTTGTATGCGACCCCTTCGAGGTCAAGTACGTCGTGTTACGTCTAGGGGGTACCCCCTGGGTCGTGACACTTTCATGAATTTAGAATCCTAGCTATGTAGTTCTTTTAGTTTATGAATTACACATGCTAGGTCAGTTATTTCAGATATACATGTTTCAGTTTACGAATGTCAGATTATCATATATAATTATCGCATTCTCAGAGTTTGCATGTCAGTAAGCGAGATATCCAGTATTACAGAATTCAGTCATAAATTGTTAATTACACAATCAATTTAGAGTAGCTTAATATCGAGTAAATAGGTTTAGTCACCCTTAAGTCCTAGAACTATGCGCCATGTAGGTTGTAAGTCCCTTATGTAGTAATTAATTTAGTGATCACGCCAGTCATGCCTCTATACCTTTGGCGGGGTATATTGGGTCCTCTCGATGGGGCATATACATCGAACTCCACATTTAGCTCATGTGGTTTTATGTCGGTTATTAGTAGCTTCCACAGTCAGATTCCTTTGCATTGACCATGTTATCAGTAACAGTCAGATTTCAGTCTCAGTATGTTCTAAACGTGGTCATTGCATTCAGTTAGATCATGTTCAGTATTTTCAGTATAGTACCATGCTCATCTTATAGCATTGCTCAGTTATATGCTTTGTTCAGTTATGTATATTGTTCAGCTTTATTCTATCATGCATGCTCAGTACCTTTCAAGTATTGACGCGTACTCTCCGCTACATCTTCTCGTGATGTAGGTTCAGGTCCTCATCATTCAGATCATGCTTAGATCGGTTCCCGATCTTCAGCTCAGTAGCATCAGTGGTGAGTCCTCATTCTCCAAGGACGACAGATATGTTTCCTTTCTACTTTTAGTCTTTAGTTTTCTGTTTTTGCTAGATTTAGCTAGGGTATGTCCCAGCATTTCTAGTCAGATAGAGGCTCATTTCAGACATAGTTAGATTCAGTTTTAGCTTGGAGTTTGATATTTATTTTGTTATTAAACTCTCAGATTTTATATTCAGAGAATGGGTATTCCCCATTATTTTCAGTTTATCTTATGTCTTATGCTTTCGCTCAGTATTTCTTATTCCAATCTATATTAGTATGCTTATGATATGCCAGCTCAGGGTTAGCTTGGGGTCACTCGTGATCCTAGGTCCTGTGTCCGCGTCCTAGGGGTAGCTTCGGGGCGTGACAAAAATGAAACAAGGTTAGGGATGCAATGGGGCGGGGAGGATGTGTGGCGGGGTAGGTTTAGGGCTATATTGGGCGGGGCGGGTTTAAGGTTGTACGGGACGTGTTATGGATATATGTGATTTTATGTGAATCCAAACTTAATTTTAACTTTTTACATGTTATTAGAATGATAGAGCATTATTTATTAAGATAATTTCTGTAAAACTACTAAAATATTCAAGATAGTAAATAAAAATGATTCAATAAAAAATAATATAAATTCTTACATGTTTTCCAATTGACCTCTAAAAAATAAATTTTAAGTTATTAATGAAAAAAAAATATTATTTTTTGTGCATATCAAACTTAACTAGAAAAAGAAAATATTAAAAAAATTAAGCGGGGCAGATTCCTACAGGGCGGTCTATATGGAGCAAATTGAAAATGAAAAAAATAGTTATTCCGAATGGAGTGGAACGGGTTAAAATATTTACGGATTAAGCTCAATTTATCTTGTCCTGCTCTGCATCATCCTATTATCATCCCTAAATAAGGCTAACGTGAAAATGGAAAAACGACAAATTTGAGGGATTGTATATGTGTTTGGCATTGACCACGCAGTAGTAAATACCATACACGTGGCGATTGATGATTAGATTAAACATGCGGCAGCTCTGTTCAAGAACAGAATTGGAGGTTACCCGTTAATTTTTAACCCTGACATATAGTAGTTTGACTTAAAAGTGCATTAATAGTGGTCATACATTTTTTCAGAGTTAAATGATAAAAAAAAATTAATTAATATTTTAAGATGAATTTTTTAAATCATATTAATATAAAAAGAACTACAATTCATAATACTTTTATAAAGTATTTCAATATTTAATTATTTATTTTAAAATATTGAATTAATGTGATCTAATTTAATTTTGAAAGTTAGTCAAATTGACTTTAAAAAAACGTCACATGACAACTAAAAGAGAACGAAGAGAGTATATAGATGTGTTCTTTAATTTAATATTAATTAAAATCTATATTTTAAAATTTTGGGCATGCAGATTAAATTTGTATAAAATTAAACAAGTAGACAAGGATGTGTGATATAGTATATATAGGACATCACGTAGGATGCAAATTACCATGGCAGACGCCACGTAGGACGCATATGTCTATTTATTCAACTTTATAATATAAGTTTTAAGTGTCAATTTGTGTACACTCAAAGTTGGAGGGCATAAATATCAGTTGAAGTCAAGTTAAAGGATGTTTATGTATTATGTCTTTTGGATATTATAGTAGGATTGTGTATCAATCGATCTGATTCAATTTTGAAGTTTATCGATTCAACATAAGTTATTGATTCATTGGTCATGCTAAATCGTTATAGAATCACTAAGATTTATTGTTTTTATCAGTTATCAATTTAGCCGTTTAGATTTCACACAAAACAAATTATCATTGATAATCACATAAAAACGAAGTAATAAATCAGATGAACCAGGCACATAAGTTGACAAATTACATCTTGTTTAAAAGCAAATACTAACACTTAAGCTTGTAGAATAACCGAAAGTTTAAGGTATTTCGAATGGTATAAATATAATTATGGTTTAAAACCCAAACATAATGAACTATTTTGGGTCATTTCTCAATCTTATATATATATATATATATATAACATAGAACCTTAGACCCGCCTACGTGGCGCCACTACAAACCAAAATTTTCTTTTAATTTATTTATTTTCAAAACTAGTCTTCTCCTTTCATGAAAAGTTATGACATTTATGAAAAGTTGTGACTTTTATGAAAAAAATTTACTTTAACTAGTCTTTCCCTTTTATGAAAAGTTGTGACATTTATGAAAAGTTAAGACTTTTATGAAAAGTTGCGACTTTAATGAAGTGTTGCGACTTTTATGAAAAATTGTGACTTTTATGAAAAGTTGCGACTTTAATGAAGAGTTGCGACTTTTATGAAAAGTTCTGACTTTTATGAAAGGTTGTGACCTTTCTGAAGGGTTGCAATTTTCCCAAATAGTTGTAACCTTTCTGATAAAGCACAATAAACATTTGTTCACACTACCCTTTGTTGTCTATAAATAGAGGGATTTCCTCTTTATTTTAAAACAACTAAAATTCTGAATCTCTTCTTCTCCTTCACAATTAAATATTTATTTACTTTGCTCCTATTGAGTGGCTCACTGACACCATTGCCCATTGCTTATGTTACAGATTCTGGTTTGTATTTTTACAGTCATTAATTTATGCTTATGTTATTAAGGATAAATGATAAGATGTAATAATTTTCATTTTCCTTTACATTATTAATGTTTGTTACTACGTAATTTTATATGTAAGATAATATAGTATTTTAGTTTTAATGACGGATAGGTTTTAAGTATTATTTTATAAATTCCATGATACTATTAAATTCCCACGCGAAGCGCGGGTAATTTTACTAGTAATAATAATAATAATACTCCCTTCGTCCACTATTGTTTGTCATGTATATTGAAAATAGTTGTCCAAAATTAATTGTCAATTTAAACAATCAAGAAACAATTAGTCACTTTTTTCCAATTTTGCCCTTAATAATTACATAACTACTAGTTTCAAAAAGTAGTCATTTTAAAGTTACAAGACTACTTTAATGTGAAAAAAATTGTTTTTACAGTTTTCAAAAAGTACAAACCATTTTAATAATGATTGATAGTAGGGTTATATTGGTCAAATTGCACCTTATATTAAATTTTTCTTAAAGGTTGTGCATGATCTTACCCTGACAAACAATAGTGGACTGAGGGAGTAATAAAGTGGTGGGTGTAATAGTATATATATAGAGACCTCAAAGTCTATATATTGATAACTAACTCACACAATTAATTATTGGCTTCAAAAAGAAAAAATGGAGTAAAATTTAGTGTTATTATACACAAGTTTGGCAATAGGGATTTTAACCCTAATTAGTGTCCTAAAGAGATCAAATGGATGGTTTTTTACAATGAAATTTAGTTCAAAGAAATGTGAGTTGCCTCCTGGTGACATGGGCTGGCCATTAGTAGGGAACATGTTTTTTTTCTTCCAAAGTTTCAAAGATGGTAATCTTGGCTCATTTGTCTCCTACTTTGTTACTAGGTAAAGTTTCTCACATAATTCTTCTACATAAAATGCTTGCAATTTTCCATACATGAGAAAATGGTTTATTATTAATATTGATTGAAGTAGTGAGAAAAGAAAAAAAATTAATATTTTCATACAAATAAATTAGGAAATTTCTCGCTATCTCAGTGAGAATCTGTTTTCAATCATATATTTTTTTCTCTAGTCCATTAATCTCTTGAACTATAAACTTAACACTTTTTTTTGTAGGTTTGGAGAGGGAGGGATGTGCAAGGCATTCATGTTTGGTAAGCCAAGCATTATCATCACAAAAGTTGAAACAAGTAGAAAAATATTTATGGATGATGATAATTTTGATAGAGGTATGCCAAAATATATCTTAAAAATACTAGGACAAGTTCAAGTTGGTGGATTTACAAAAGAAGAAAGCAAGCGTCTACATAGACTAACAACACCAATAAAAAGTGACATATCATTATCATCAAATTACTTTGATTTTGCAAATGAAATTGTGAAAAATTCATTTGAGAAATTGGTTGCCATGGAAGAACCAATTGATATCCTCTTAGCAATGACAAGGCCAACATTTGCAGTGTTAATGAGAATTCTTATAGGTGATGGAGTTGATCATGATTTGGTTGATGTTCTCTTTGAAGAGACTATTTATCTTATTCGTGGTTGTCATGGTTTGCCCTTTAATATACCAGGATCTTCTTACAATAGGGGATTGAAGGTAAGAAAATATTCTTATTATAAATTGCTTCTAGCTAGATCTGATATATGTCTCGTTAAAAAAGTGGTACTACTGAAAATTCATTGTTATTCCACTGAAAAATGTTTAGTGGCATCTATTTTCATAGATATTTTGATTGAATCGGCAGGAAAAATAATAATAATATTTTCATACGAAAAAATTAGGAAGTTTCTCATTATTTCAGTGAGAAGCAGTTTCCATATGTATTTTCATAGTGAGCTAATTTCATAGTACAAAATTCTTACTGATTTGCGGTGGAGAAAACTTCTATTGTGGTTCCTATCTACTCTCGTCATCTAACAAATAGAGCATATTTATCATTTTTTGTTAACGAACTTATATTTACTTAATTTTTAAAAAAATAATGTTAAAATCAATTGGTAAAATTATTATTTTTCAAAAATATCACGTGCCTTTAAAAGATAACTTCCCCTTTTTTTAGTTTGGTTGGATCTTGAGGGGCGAAAAAATGGGTGAGATACTTTTTAAAGCCAAATGACATTTTTGAAATTAAAAAAAAAAACTAATTTTAGGATTATTTTTTTTTTAATTCAATAAATGAGAGTTTTTTAACGAGAAGTGTAGATATATACAGGTTGGAGAATGAAACTCTCACCACAAGATTATGTTACTTTCCAATTAAAAATCCAAATACATGGTAAAGTGTTCAAAACTTTGAAAATACTTTTGCATGTGCTCTTAAATGTCTATTAGTTAGTTAAGTAAATCACATAAAATATGTCATTTTATTTAATCAATTGACATCAGTTGAAACATGTTTGACGTATTACGTCTTTTTAAGTCTAATATTAATGCGTATAACTAAAACAGATGACATATTTTATTGATTAACTTATTTATTTAATTAGTACTCCATCTGTCTCTAATTACTTGTCCATTTTTGAATTGACAGACCTATTAAGAAAACAATAATTGACATAGTGAGTTTACCATTTTACCCCTATTAATTATGAAGTGGATGAATTAAAAATTTAAGATTTTCAAGAAGTTCTACTTTTTTCAAAGTAATTAATTGAGGGTATAATATGTAAAAATTTGTCATTTCTTGATTTGTCAAAATGGACAAGTAATTAGGGACAACTAAAAAAGGAAATGTGGACAAGTAATTAAGGAATCATACAACTTTTTTTTTCTAAAATTTGAATCGAAAGTATCTAATAAATTTTTTTTATCATGTGTTCAGATGTTTAATTGAAGCAAAAGCGACAATCTAAATATCTAAATGAAATTGACTAACAAATTTAAGAGAATATTAAACATTTACATTTAATGCATGTTAATTTTCAGGCTAGAGGAGCAATGGCTAAGATATATCAACATATATTAGATGAAAGAAAAGTGATGATTGGGAAAAACAAAACAAGGGGAAAGTCTAACATTTTACTAGATATGATGTTAGACACTCAAGATGATGATGAACAAGGAAAAGGATTCAATGATGAGAAGATCATTGCAATGCTTGTTTCTTATACATTTGCTGGTTTTGAATCTGTTGGTTTGGACCGTTTGGTTGCATCAACAGCCATTATGTATCTACAAAAATATCCAAACTTCTTGAACAAAGCTAAAGTATACCTATATATTCATCACTACTTTTATTGTTCTTTTTTAAGGTTGTGTTCGATACGAATAAAAATATTTTTCAATTTTCTGGAATTAGAAAAAATAAGTTTCATGATTACGTCTTTCTTACTCTGTCACACCTACTCATATAGCTCATCTTCACACCCACTCCCGTAGACCCACCACCACCTCCATGTCTCTGTCTCCAATAGTATTTGTCTAGATTATATATAAATTTTTATTTATTTATATACTAAACACAAGAAAATAGATAGAAAATTCGCTTATTTTTTTGAAAAATATTTTTCTCCGTATTGAACACACCCTAATTCTTGTTGTAGGGGTAGTTTAGTCTTTTAACGTTTAAAAAAAAAAGTTAAATCATGCCTAATATATGTCTTGACAAATTTTCTATTTTTACAGGAGGAACAAGAGGATATAGTAAAGAGAAGATCATCTTCAAATGAAGGCCTTAATTTCCATGAGATTAAACAGATGAAGTATCTTAGTAACGTAAGAGTTAAATTTTTTTAATTTTTTTTTGTAAGGTTCAAAATAAAATAATTTTGGACAAATTAACATGCATTAATTATTCTTATATCTCTTTTTTTCAAAATTGAAAGGTAATTAATGAATCGTTACGTATTGCTATGGCCAAAACAATATTCTTTAGAGAGGCAAGAACTACTATTGACATAAACGGTTAGTACTCTGCCTTAACTTTTTTTCTACTTATTTTATTCGAATAAATTTCTCAAATAGTTACTTAATTTTACGAATATATCTACTAAAATCACTTTATTTATTCAGTAGTAAACATAAAAAAATACTTAACTATTTCTTCTTTTTTTCAAAGGGTCTTTAAGTGTGAATATCTTTTATAGTACTCTCTGTCTTAATTTATGTAGAATTATCTTACTAGATATACATTTTAAAAAATTAATGAAGACTTTTGTAATTTATGATATAAAACAAATTTTAGATATTTTTGTAGTTATAAATTATTTTATTAAAAATAAAAGGAAAATTTAAAAGTGAAATTGATATCTAACTACATAAAGGTGACATTCTTTTTAAGATAAACTAAAAGTAAAGTGTGTCATATAAATTGAGATGTTTTACTCCTTGAAATTCATCTTAAATCCAATAACCTATTTTGGTTTGGGGCGGGGGGACTTACACTTCCTCTAGTCAATATTAAATGAATTATTGAAATTTTTTCATAATTTAAAATAAATAAATTATTCAAAATTCAAGAGAATTGTTGAGATTTTTTTTCTATATTTACCTTCATTTGATGAAGTTTTTAACTTTTTTACGTTTTCTAGAAGAACTTTAATTTATATCCTTAAATATTTTCCTTAAAGGGTGTGTTGTATCTAACAATTCATTTAATATGGACTGGAGAAAATATGTCAAATATTTAAAGTGGACTTTTCTAGGGCCTTGTGCATTTTTTGGCATGAGACTTTTCTGGGGAAATGAAATAATTATGTGACTTTGGTTTTATTACAAAACAAAGAAAAATATTACTTTAACTTTACCGGGAAAGTTCAAATTGTACGCGGTTAATATGATGAAAATAATCGATGAATCAATAATTTTATGTCAAAATCAGTTTACCCATAACATAAGGATCGTAAATATACTTTTTTCATCAAAAAGGGAGTCAAAATCGATAAAACCCCAATTTTTCTCAAGAGATTTACGGATAGGTAAAAAAATCAGATAAAGAAATTATGAGAAAGTGTCGAATTGAAGATTGAATACTAACTCTCATATTAATTCAAGAAGAAACCCGTAAGAATCACTCCATTCCGATCTCTAGAACTCCCGATATGCTCAAAATACCAAATGAACACAATCTGAGATTTTTATAACAGTACATGACTGTTATGCACCAGAAAAACAGCAGTTAATCTTTCACTAAAAAGGCCGTAATTTCCTCATACGATAGTGAAATGACCCGATTCTTTTTGTAAATGTCTTAAATAATGATACGGACCTTCTCATTCAATCGGAGCTCAATTTCATGCTCGTTTGCCCAGTCAAAATATCATTTCTACTCGGTAAACAATTATTTCTTATTTGCGATAAAAGTCCAATCTCGGTTTAGGGAAAATGCACCAAAATTTGCAGATAAGTCCTATAATTCATGCTCAAAATTTCAGAATCTTCGGAATAATTTTTCGACCTTTAAAACTAATAATGAACCCTTTAGTTGTCACAATTTGCTGAAATAGTGTCAAAGCATCCAAGAAGCTTAAAAGCTCACTCAAAACTCATTTGGCACTTCCCGAACACAAACCAAATATGCTACTAGCTTGAAAATGACATTTCGGACTCAATGAAATCGTCGGAATTTGAATTCTAGGTCTCCTTGACCCGGTATCCGATAAGGCGTCAAGAAACTAACTTTAGGCTCAAAAACTCGAAATGCACTCGGGGCCTCTAAAAATTCAACCAAGACTCATTCTAGACTTAGAATCACCCCCTGAATCCAACGGTGCCCTCGGAATTCCATTTCGAGCACCGGAACCTAGTTTGTTGACCAAAGTCAACTCTTGATCAAAATTTCACAATTTTTGCAACATGGGACCTCAAATCTTCGTTTTAACTCCAAATTCGACTCCGTAAATTCTCATAGACCCGTTTCGACATTCTAAAACTGCTGGAATCGACGGAAATCTGATTCGAGTCTCGAAACTCCAAATGACTCGAAATAGCACTTTTAACCAAACTTTCACTCTCAAAAACTCAACTTTCCAAAAACTCAACTTTTCATCAATTTTCCTTCAAACCAACTTCGAAAATACAACAATTAGGACTCGGGGCAACTATCGGGAGGGGTAAAACGGTCATTTTATGAAAATTTCCAAAAATGCCCTTTAGGGTCATTACAGAAAAATAAATTCATTAAAAGTGAGGAAAATGACTTCCTTAATGAAAGAGGAAAAACAAATTTTATAAGTAACATTCTATGTTTATTGATATATTTTCCCGGCCCATCCACCCCCTTGTCTCTTGACCATCCCACCGAGGCCCCATTCCCCACCGGCTATCCCCTCCCATTCTTCTAGTGTTTTTGCTAAATTACATATAAATGTTATTTAATACTCCCTTTGTCTCAATTTATGTGACTTACTTTCCTTTTTAGTTAGTCCCAAAAAGAATGACACATTTTTATATTAAGTAACAATTTAACTATAAAATATATATTTTACCCTTAATGAAATGATTTACAGCCACACAAATTTATACCATTCATTTTGTACCACAAGTTCTAAAAGTCTTCTTTTCTTTCTTAAACTCCGTGTCGATTCAAACTACCTCACATAAAACGGGAAGGAGGGAGTAATATTTTTTTGCTAACTTACCAAACATTAGAAAATAAGTAAGAAACCAACTTGTTTTCTTCGAGAAAACATTTCTTAGAAAAATTTCCATGAAAAATATTTTCTTTCATACCAAAGAGTACACCCTTAACCTTATGGTTTTAAACATATCAGTACTAATAGTATTTTCTATCAAATGATATTTCAATTTAATTGTTACTATATGATGCAGGGCGGAGCAAGTTAATCTAGAGAGAAAAATCGAACCTCCTAGAAATTGTTTTGTGAGATTCAAGAAGCTCTAAGGATATCATATCATATCTTATGAATATGAATGACAATTTCATCATTTTCCATTTGCATTGCTCTTTATTATGTGGATTCTATGTGTATGACCCTTTTTTATGCAAGCCATCGTTGAAAATAATTAAGTTAAATGTTTCGATTTATATATTTTGTGTTATTCATTTGTCCATCTCCCTCTTCCATTCTCTTTTGTACCATATGATATTATCAATATTTTTATCTAGGATTTCAGTCATTGTATTTTAATTTAAAAAAATCCTTTCATTAATGCACATTTAACTAGTATTTGACAACTCATGTCGTTTAAAGAGTTTCAAAGACCACAATTTTTTTGATACAGCAAACTTTAATAATATAATTAGATAAATTTATCATTTTTAGTGGTTATCGAAAATAACTACTAAAATTGAACATCAACATGTTGATCTTTATGAGAACATGCAGGTTCAAATTTACAGAAATCATAATCGAATGATGTAAAGTTGTAAACATAATAGTCACAAAAGATCATAAAATATTCAGATTCACAAATCAACTCCAACTTTTTTTTTATATACACAATCCAAGTCATCGGGTCGTGGGGACGCCTACTGTGACACCTAGATAGAAAAATCTTTACCACATGATTTAAAATTGATAATGTGGAAGTAACAAATTATCAACTTATCACCTTATTTAAATACAAAATTACTCTCATCCTTAATTAAAATAAAATACTTTGGTACAATATACAGAACCCTCCCTAGGAATTAGTATAAACAAATACAACTTCTAGAGACACAACTCCCACCATAAAGAAAAGAGGAGTAGAAGTTATCGGAGAATATCATCGTCTTCACCTAAAAAACATAACTGATCTTGCAACCAGACTATGCCAAATGATATAGTAAGAGTAGTATTATTACAATAGCATATATTGATAGACAACATCGATCGATCCGAATCCACCAGATAATAATGTAAATAGCCAAAAGAAATATACAACCTTAAACCTTTAACCAAAACCCTTACTATCAAGTAATACTACATCTGAACTTCTACACTCTGTCTCAAACTATCTTACCTCATCCCGCTACCAACTCCAACATTAAGAACCATCCCCCCTCTTATGTTGTCATAACCTAACCTCTCTATCATATGAAGGCTTTCTGAACCTGCTTATATATTCTATCAGATATAGTCTTACCTTATCGATTTTATTCTTGAATTCAAGCTTACCAATAATATCTATTAATCGGTTTGTCACCTCTCCAAAAATCCCCTACCAATGCTCTGGCCCTTGGCTCTCAGCCAAGTTAGTGGACCACCCACAAATTTCTTACTTATCCCTTAGACTTAACTCACCTCCGGTGCAACACACTTCCGCAAGTAATCTGGACCATCCAAAGATCCCTAATACGTCATTTACGGTGTTTAATATACAACTTCGGTCCACACAAGAACCATCCATTATTTTGCTAAATTAGGTCTTAAGTCTAACTCACACCCCAAAAGCTAGCTCAAAGAGAAGAGGATTGCCCAAACCTTATAAGGAGTCCACCCATCTCATTAACCATCGATGTGGAACTTTT